AGGCCTATCTGATTGGCTGCTCTCTGATTGGCTGCATTATGATTGGCTGGTTTGTGATTGGCTGCTATTAGATAAGGACTGCAGGGAACCGGGTCAGGTGAGCCTCACCTGTCATCATGACGATAAAAAAAAGAACATTTAATATTAATATTTGTCCACTGATCTTTATGTACGACTAACAGCGAATGTTTTTATAGACAAAATCTCTGAAATTGCATATTTTCTCTTCAAATACCAGGATGAAACTGGGTATCGCTGCATGTTGCCAATATGTTTGCATATACTTTTATAAACCCTGATTTACCACAGTCAGGCTAATGTTGTTAACAATCTACGTTTAATGTTTGTTAGTGACATAGAGTAGAGCCTCTACAGGAATTGAACTCGTTCCAGGACCGACTTCGTATGTTAAAATATTCATATGTTGGTTCAAATATTCCAATCAGAGTACACCAAAAATTCCTATAATTCGTTCCTCAGCCCAGAAACCTACGATAACTCCTTAATAAATACTGCAGATAATTACACATAGCAATAAAACAAATGCATTATAGAAGAGAGATGTAAAAAGAAATAATTGATAAAAAAAATAACCAATAAAAAGTGTTATTTATTGGCACTTTAACTCAGAGACTGAACGGAGGTAGAGACTGAGATACAGGGCGAACCCTAACTCACTCTAACTTTCGCTACCTGAACTTTAAACTTTAAAATGTGCATGTTTTCGTAAGTAGAGGTTCAGGAGCAGGGCAGTACTCTGCCTCACCAAAGGGGGGCGGACGTGGGCCAGCGGGGGCTTGTTGCTGCTGAGGCCAGTGAGAGTTGACATTTAGCTTTACGGATTAGGAATTTTCATCCAGCGTTCTGGAAGCTTTGCAGAATGAATAAATGAACAGTTTTCATTTCAATCTTATGATAAAATTAGATTAAACTAAGAAAAGTACAATAGAATACTTGAAAACTGAATTTTGGCCTTAAATAAAATAATCTTTGTGTTTTTATTTTTTATGCTTTTCACTGAGCGATTTCATACCTTTAATACGTGTGAGATGAGATACGAAATAACCAGCAGCCAGTTGAATAAGCTCCACTTTTAGGGTTCTATACCTGTAAATCTGCCTCTACAGGAGTCGGTGCCTCACAAACGTCACTGCTTGACCAGATTTGGGTCTGGACCTGATCTGGATCAGATCTGGACTAGAACTAAATCTGGACTGGAACTAGATCTGGACCAGATCTGGATCTGTATCTGGACTGGAACTGGATCTGGACCATTTCTGGATTTGGATCAGATCTGGACTCTGTTGTCTCCCCTCTAATGGTTCTTTGACATTTGACCTTGCTGTGCCTCCTCTCCAGCTGTGCTGAACGTGTCCAGCTGTGCACCCAGAGTTTAGATGACCTTTAACCTTCAGACTGAGGCTTCCTTCTGGTGTCTTTCCTCCCAGAAAACTCTAAACCTAAAGGTTTTTTTAAAGCTTTCTTGAGCCTTTTTAAAGGCTTTTTCCTCACAGAGTTCGTCAGATTCCTGAAAACTGCTGCCGACCTGCAGGATCCTGTCGAGTCAGCGAATCCTTAGGATTTCGGAGCCCTCCTTCAGGTGAAGGAAGCTGGACGCCTCAAATCCGGCCATGTGTCATCCCTCAAACCCTCAAAGATCACAAAAACGAGGAGTCGGCCGCTTTGAGTTAAATAATTTATTACAGTTAATTACAGTTTGGCCAGAATTGGGCACCTCAGTCACAAAACATTTCATGGAAATGACAAAGCAAACAGGAGTCGGACCAATATGGCCACCAGGAGGATAAATAAACATAAATTATTATAAAAGCAGGATGCTTTTGAGCAAAGGCAGCCAATCAGAGTCCTTCAGCTCCGGCTCCCACGTGCTCCAGTCTGACCCTCCACACCGGGTCTGGACCCCCCCAAAGTGGGTCTGGACCCAACCAACAGACTCCGGGGCTTCAGGACGTGATGCTCCACAGAGGAATCAGATCCACCGCGAAGTGTTTGAGCTTTATCTGCTTCCTCTCACCGGCGGGATGGAGCCTTTATGTCCCACTTTGAGTTCTGGTTCCGGTGGGTTCACCTCTCCGGTCCCCCCGGTTCAGCTCCCGGTGCGCGTGTGCGTCTCCTCTCCGTCTCCACCGACGCCACCTCTTGCCTGCGGGCGCAATCACAGTCGGTCACACGCGCTCCGTCTCGCGGCGTAAACACGGAACCAGGGCGCACGCGCGCACACAACACAACACACCTGAGGCAGAAGCTCGTGCAGCCGCCGTCGGTTTCCCGGAGACACCGGCAGCGCGGGGCGCGCCGCGTTCCCACGGAGTCCGGGAGCGCGCGCTTGGACCGGGGCGCGTTGCCCATTCCGTACGAGACCACGCGCCTGGACGCACGAGAGAGGGGAGAAATGAGCCGTTAAAAGCCGCAAAAACTGCAGGAAAGCACCGCGTGCGGGGAGTCTGAAACAAAGTCGGAGACAAACGGGGCTGTACTCACTCGGGCGTGTTGACCCAGATGATGTCCAGGTGGCAGAAGTACACGCACTCCTTGTCCAGGAAAGTTGCGCAGGAGCAGCGTTTGTTGCGCACGTGGACAGCGGAGCTCGCGTGCGCGGCCGGGGCAGAAAGGGCTGCAGGCAGAAAGCAGCAGACGGAGTCAGACTCTCATTCCGAGAGGAAACTCCTCCATCCAGAGGAGGCTCACAACCTGCGGCGGGAGGAAGTTACCTGTGCAGAACATCCAGGAGATCATCACCCACAGCACGGAGACCCACGCGTGGGAGCCCATGTTCACGGTCCGGGGGCAGAGTCGGGGCAGTAATCCTTCAGAGGTCAGAGATGGCCGCTTATCCGCAGCGTCTGCTGTCACTGAGGCCCCGCAGGAGGCCACTTTGGCTTTATAGGAGCGCCTCCTCCCGCTCCTCCTGCCGCTCCGGTTCGCGGCTGCGGCTGCTCCTGCGGCCGTCCGGCAGCAGGGGGCGCTGTTGCTCCGGCCTCACGGGCCTCAGGCAGCCGCATTTTGAGGCGTTTCCAAACTTTCTGATGACATTTGGAACTGAAATTGCTTCAGAACTCCGTTTTTGATGCCTTTTATGCTCCGTTCTGTTTCTTTATCCTCATCCTGATGGACTGTCCAACAGCCTGATCCATTTTAATGTCTGTTTAATATCTGAGTTGTACTTTTTGGTAGTTTATTACCTTAGCTGTTTTTTCTTATTATTGTGTATTTCCATAAGTTGGGTTAGTTTAGTGTGTAGAAAGTGTTTAGACTAAATTTCATCACTTAGCTTTTCACCTTCTTGCCCTCTGACAAGCTGACTGTCCCTGAAGGGGTCGTCCAGGAGAGGTGCATCATGGGAGCCCCCCAGCAGAACTATGGGGGTGTTTCAGGGTCCTCAGAGGGGGGGGTCTGCTTCCTGAACTCTTAACTCCTTCTGAAATAGGACAAACTTCAGGGTTTCTGTAACTTTTTCTCAGTTGTTATTAATCTTTAATGATCCTCACAGATTAGTTTTTATTATTTGTCTTTTTCAGAGATTTTTCTAACATATTGGCTCCAAATTAGTTCTGATACGTTATTTTTTTTGGCTAAACTTTAGTTAGAAGTGACACAGAACTGGCTCCAGGACAGGAGGTCCTGTAAAGGCCTGCAGTCCTGCAGTGGCGGCTGGCAGCCAGCAGGGGGCTCTGCTGGCCTTGGCATTACATCAGTGGGATTCCATTCCATGAAACAACTTCATGTTTTAATATTAGTTACATTAAAACTATGCTTCCTGGAATTTCTCGTCACTTTTTTCCAAAGAAAAAGGAGCTTTTTATTCCAGTAAAAGCCGACATGTCTGAGCTGGACTTTACTGGTCTCTGCTGGTTCGTAATGGTCCCTACTGGTCTGTGCTGGTCCCTGCTGGTCTGTGCTGGTCCCTGCTGGTCTCTACTGGTCCCTGCTGGTTCCTGTTGGTTTCTGGTGGTCCATGGTGGTCCCTACTGGTCCCCACTAGTCTCTGCTGGTCCCTTGTGGTCCCTACTGGTCTCTTCTGGTCCCTGCTGGCCCCTGATGGTTCCTACTGGTCCCTGCTGGTCTCTGCTGGTCCCTAATGGTTCCTACTGGTTCTTAATGGTCCCTGCTGGTCTCTGCTGGTCCCTAATTGTCCCTACTGGTCCTTAATGGTCCCTAATGGTCTCTGCTGGTCCCTGGTGTCCCCTGCTGGTCTCTGCTGGCCCCTGATGGTTCCTACTGGTCTCTGCTGGTCCCTACTGGTCTCTGCTGGTCCCTACTGGTTTCTGCTGGTGCCTGCTGGTCTGTACTAGTCCCTGCTGGTCCCTGCTGGTCTCTGGTGGTCCCAGTGAGGAAGGAGGCTCCGAGTCTTGATAAACAAATGTTTACTGGTACAGAATATTCATACAGCGAAGAAGAGCCACCACAAAGCTGTGGAATAAATAAACACAACATCTGGACACAGACGCCAACATCTGGACAGGAAGTTTCTGCCAAGTCCACAGAAAAGTAGAATAACCAGAACCACAAGTTTCACCAGAAGGTCTGAGTCCCCGCTGACCAATCAGAGATCAGCTCTGACTGGCCAGCCCTGATTGGCTAGTCCTGACCGGTCAGTCCAGACTGGTCAGTTCTGATTGGTCAGTCCAGACTGGTTTGGTTCTGACTGGTCACCTCTGATTGGCCAGCTCTGACTGGCCAGCCCTGATTGGCTAGTCTTGACCGGTCAGTCCAGACTGGTCAGTTCTGATTGGTCAGTCCAGACTGGTTTGGTTCTGACTGGTCACCTCTGATTGGCCAGCTCTGACTGGTCAGTCCTGATTGGTCCTCAGAGGGGATTGCACGTTAAGCTGCCGGCCTTGGGGGCGGGGCCTCAGGTGGCGATCACCAGCTTGTCCTCGTCGTCGCTGGACGCCTCGTTCGGGTCGCTGGCCGCCGACCGCCAGCCTGTCGCCGGGGGGGCGGCCGGTCGCCGCGGCGTCTCCGTGGCAACCCGCTCAGCCTGGGCGGCGCCAGTGGCGGCGGCGGGGTCCGGCTCGGCGTGCGGGCTGAGCGAGGGGATGATGGCGGGCAGCGCGATGATCTGCAGACCGGAACCGGCCTGCGAGGTGGCGCCGGCGGTTAGCACCTGTAGCCCCAGGGTGGCGTTCAGGGCCACGCCCGGCGGCGGCCGTTGCGGCGCCAGGCCCAGCAGGCGGAGCGCCTCCAGGCCCGCCGGGCCCAGAGGGAAGCAGGGCAGCACGCCATTGGTCGGCACGCCATTGGCTGGCGGCGGGCTGGCGGCCCGGTGGAGGACGCTCAACGCCGGGATGGCGAGCTGGACAGACCCGGCCTGGATAGGGACCAGGGCGGCCAGGCCTGATACTAGCTGGACCCCCCCCACAGGGAGCCCCCCCACTGGGAGCCCCCCCACCGGGAGCCCCCCCACCGGGAGCAGGCTGTAGGGGGGGCGGGCGGGCTGCTGGGAGTGCAGCGGCAGGTGGCTGAACAGGCGGGTCTCTGGGCCCTGGGGGGGGCCCTGGCTGAACAGCTGGGTGTGGGGGGGGCACTGGTTGAACAGCTGGGGGTGGGGGGGGCACTGGGCCGTCTGCGTGCTGCGGTCCACTGGCGCCACGGGCCCGCCGCCACCACTCGCCACGGCGCCGGGCGGCTGTAAAGACCAGAAAGATGTTAGAGCCAGAGAGGGGGGAGGGGCTTAGAGTCAGAGAAAAGAAACACAGGAGGAGGGGCTTAGAGCCAGAGAAAAGAAACACAGGAGGA